GTAAAAGGGGGTATGGTTGGTGTCGGCTCCCTTGCCCCAGTTATGCAGGGTGCTGGTCACAGAACAAAGGAGCGTCAAAACTGGCCTCGGAGAGACCCTAAATTCTCCAGCCCGGCCAGCGGGTTAGACTGGAGTGGAAAGGGAGTGGATGAACACAAAGGTAGTCTTCCTCTTTCAGAGAAGCAACTTCTGGAGGAAGGTGGCCCCAATGACCAAGAAGTGAGTGGGGGGTGCAAAGTGGAGGGACGGGGGAAACCCGTGGCTTAGTCAATCTGTTTTGCAAATTAGAGTCATTAATATAGGGATATTTAATTTCTTCCTTTGGAGTAGAATATTAATGCCGCAATAGCTCAGTTAGAGATTCCCGGAAACTTTGACTCCATTTGAGCCACATGGTTCCAATTTAATGTGGTGACTTGTTTTATTTTAAAATTTAATTTTAATTGCATCTGGAAGCGACCGTGCCTTCTTGGCAAGCCCAAATAAGACACCCTGCCTGTAACGGGTCATTATGGAGAATGAGACAATAAAGCCCACAGACAGCAGTCATGCTCGGGGCCACAGCCCCAACCAAGGCACCCAGCTCGCCACCTTGCCCGTGCAGTCCCAGCCCTGCAGAGGTTCGGGGAGGGGCAAAGGTGGGAGGGAAGCCTGGAGAGTTAGGTACGGGGAACGGTGCCGAGAGGAGACGACTGTCTGGGAGCAGAAGGGGGGAGGGTGACAACAGGAGGGGGAAGGGTTGGATACTATTTGGGCTCCAGTAAGGGAGAGGTTCGCCGTCTGTGGTCATCCTTAGCAGAGGTGCAAGTGTCCAGAGAGCCCCAGGTCCCGAGCGTGCTCGCGCGCCCCGGCCTCCCTTGACCCGCACCCTAGTTAGGGCACAGGGTGCACTGCGCATGGAGCGCGCACACATTCCCTCCCCTGTCTGAGCCTCTTCCCCTGCCATGCTAGGAGGGAGGCTGGAGTCACCCTGAGCTCTACCACCTGTGATGGAGGAGGAGATTGGCGGAGGCCGTCATATGACCGGTCACGTGCTGGAGGCAAGCTCCGTCCAAAAGAAAATGGGGTTTGGTGTAAATCTGGGGGTGTAATGTTACCATATATCACGCTACCTCGTAAAACCGACACGGGAGCCTGCCGGACAACAAATCACAGGTCAAAATTATGAGTTCTTCGTATTATGTGAATGCGCTTTTTAGCAAATATACGGCGGGGGCTTCTCTGTTCCAAAATGCTGAGCCGACTTCTTGCTCCTTTGCCACCAACTCTCAGAGAAGCGGCTACGGACCGGGCGCGGGCGCCTTCGCTTCCTCCGTGCCCGGCGTGTACAATGTGAACAGTGCCATTTATCCGGGCCCCTTCTCGTCCGGATACGGCCTGGGCTCAGACGCCTACAACCTGCACTGCTCGTCCTTTGATCAGAATATCCCCGTCCTCTGCAATGACCTAACCAAAGGCAGCTGTGAGAAAGCCGAGACGAGCGCCCTGCACAGCCAGGCAGAGACCAATTTCCGGATATACCCTTGGATGAGGTCTTCAGGTAGGGGCAGCGGACACGAGGCGAGGCGAGGCGAGGCGAGGAGAGGACAGAGGAGAGGGAGAAGAGGAGGAGAGAGGGGAGGGAGGGAGAGAAGAGAGAACCGGACTGGGCGAGGAAGGAGACAGGAGAGGAGAAGAGGGCAGAAGAGGGGAGAGGAGCAAAGAGAAGACAGGACAGAGGAGAAGAGGAGGATAGGCAGGAGAGAAAAGGAGAGGAGAGGACTAGATAGGGCAGAGGAGACAGAAGAGGAGAAGAGAAGAGAAGGGAAGGACAGGACCGGACAGGGCAGGAAGGACAGGACAGTAAAGGAGATAGGACAAACCAAAGAAGCAGGAAAGGGGAGATAAGAGGACAGGGCAGGGCTGGAGAGCAGAGGCCAGGCAGGCAGGCAAACGGAGAGCCAAAGTGACTCCTGTCAGAGCCAGCCTCCATGGTTTTAATTATAGCAGAGGCGCCATTGCGTAGAGAGCCCGTAGCATTGTATGTAAATGAGTATCATAAAACTTTTTATTGCCCAATTAATGGGTTCTATCCTCGTAAATTTATTTAACTCCGTTTGCTTTGGAATTTTTAACATTAAGTGTATTCGTTCGCCATTTTCTCTCCTTTTCCCTTTTTACTCCCCTCTCTTTTTCTTTTTCTTCCTCCATGGAGAGAGAAGAGAGCTCCTGAGCCACCCTCGCCCCTCCCTCGCCCACACCACCTGGAACCCGGGCAGATTTGGGGGTAAAGGTTGCAGGAGGATTAGGGAAAGAAAGAGAGGAAGGGGGACAGGACGGAGCTGCTGAAGGGACAATAAGGCATGGGGTCCAAGTCGAGCTGGATTGGAGAGAGATGCCCAGCTGTCCAGGGAAGCTGCTTTGGTAGCTGGGCATGTTTGTGGGTACGGGAGGGAATGGAGAAGGGTTCCAAAGACATCTGTAACCGTCAGATATTTGCATTGGCTCTGGTGGTTGCTGGGCCTCTCTTCGACTAGAAAAGGAGATATACTCTAACTTGCCCCTAGTCTATATTGCTAACTTCCCTTTGTCAGAGCAGGCATTGTGGAAACTTAGCCGGCTGGAAAAAAAAAAAAAAAAACAACAACCCTTCTAAAGTTTGGACAGGACTTGATGTTTCCTCTCCCACCCCCACCCCCATGAAGATCTGTTTTTTATAATCTCTTCTCTTCCCATCCACCCCCCCCCCAAACCTTCATAGACAAGTAGGGGCAGCAGTAGTTGGAGAACTGTTCAGGGCTGGGGCTGGAGGCGGGGAGGAAAGGGGGAACGGCCCGGCGGGAGAGGCGAGAGAAAGAGGGGGTGGGAGCTGAAAGGTCCGGGAGCCTGTGGGAGATAAGGAACTTATCCTCTTGGTCCCTGGCTAATCCCCTTCTGGCTGTTTCTCTCCGTGCCTGACACTGCTTGCAGGTCCGGATCGCAAGAGGGGCAGGCAGACCTACACCCGCTATCAGACCCTGGAGCTAGAGAAGGAGTTTCATTTCAACCGCTATCTGACCCGGCGGCGGCGCATCGAGATCGCTCACGCCTTGTGCCTCACGGAGAGGCAGATCAAAATCTGGTTCCAGAACCGGAGGATGAAGTGGAAAAAGGAGCACAAAGACGAGGGATCTGCCGCCCCGGCCGCCACCGAGAGCGCCTCGACCACCCCCTCGGCGGGGAAAGTGGAGGAGGAAGAAGAGGAGGAGGAGGAGGAAGAGGAGGAGGAGGAGTGAGGCTGGAGCTGAAGGGAGGAAGCCCGAGCCGCCCAGCCGAGCTGTGGAGTCTGATGGATGCACGTGACAGTCGGAAAAGCGTCTTTAAGAGACTTACCCGTTTTATTTAAAAAAAAAAAAAAAAAAGAAAAAAAAAAAAAACCCCCCCCCAACTAGCCCCCCCCCCCAAACCTTCCGCCCTCCCAGCTCAGCTCCCAAGGCTGGCTGTGCTGAGGTACTCCAGGAAGGCGAGGTGTCTAGTCTGTGTCTTCCTCTCCCCTCCCCCTTCCACCTCTTTCTCGTCCCTGGGTCCCTTGGAGTCTCCTAGCTATGTTCGTCTACCCTGAGCCCGCACGGGCCCGGCCCTCCCCTCCCCTGCCCCCCGCCAAGTCGGTGCCCCGGCCCCGTGGCTGCTATCCCTAACCCTGGCCGAGGGAGCCCGACGGGCACACAGCGCTGGCGCTCAGAGAAACTACCTAACAGAGCCCTTGGGCTCGGTCACCCCCTGATGAAGAGGGCAAGGGCGTCCAGGCGCCCGCCAAACTACCTAATTATGCCAACCCAGAACACTGGGGCTTCCGTTTCACAATTCAGAATTGTCTCTTTCATTTTCCTTCCTGAAAGGGCAGTAAGAGCAAAGGTGAGGAAGGGGGAGACGTTCTGAGAACACACAAATACACAAAATACACAATCACACACACACACACACTCATCTAGACAACCACTACACTCCAGCAATGAGCTGTACTACCTATCTGATTTCCAAACTACCTATTTTTTTGCTTCACCTACCTAACTCCTTCATTGTGACTGTACTTTAGGAATCCGAGAAGGATTAGATGTTAAAGATGACTGACCAAAAAAATAAATAAAGAAAAAGAAAAAAAGAAGAAAAGAAAGAGGAAAAAAGGGGAAAAAAGAAAAGCATAATATTTTCACAAAAGGCTTTTAGTCCACTTGACGGTGGGGAGCATTTCTTCGTAGCTTGGGCAGAGAACTGGGGACCCGGGCTCACTGGCTTCTATCGAAATTGAAAATAATAATAATAATAATATATTTATTCCAAAGCGATTCTAAATGAAATCATATGCTGCAAACTCGCTTTCCTCTCCTTGCCTGACCATTCCGAGTTCAGAAGAAAATGCCTCTGTTTTTGGGGAGGGGACAAGGAGGGCACCCTCTTTCCCTTGGCTGGCACCCTATTAGGCTTCTGCTTGGCCAGCCTTCCAAGAGCTGCAACATCCTTTGAACCAAGTTTCTGGCAAAAGTGACCATTCCCCCTCCCCCATACTTTCAAACACCTTATCCTTGCCCTTCTCACTTCTCCACCCCACCCCGTACCCTGCCCCTTAACTAGTGTTTAATATTGCCACCCTGACTTTTCCTACGATAACAAATCCTGTACATTTGAATGAGTTTGGGGGGCCATCTATATTGTCTTGAAGCTTATTTGTAATACCTTGTCCTGACTCGGGAAGACTGTCATTCATTGGGATACCTTTGTAGTGTGATGTTTTGATGCTAACTCCTGTAGTGAGGTAAGTGGGCAGGGTGCCTATAACACCCTGTTGAAGCTGCCCAGGCTTGGCCCCTGCCTTCGTCCCTGCCCCTGTCTCTGGTGTTCTCTCGTGTTCTCGTCCACATTGGCGCTGCAGTCTATGTAGGTTTTGAGAATCCCAACCGTGTGTGTGAACTCCATGGAGGTGACTGTTCCAGTCTCGCCCCCTCCAAATGTGGTTTATGTTAACATAGAAAAAATAAAATATATGCTTGGTGACAATAGACCAGGTTTCTTTATTCGCCACCAGGCACCATAAAGAGCACTGGGGGAAATAAAGGGGTTTTGGGAGGGAGGGCAGAAAAGAGGGAAAATGTAGCCTGAGTGATATGGGCATATGGTAAAAGGACACAAATATGTGCTATTTACACATGTATGTGGATATGTGTTTCTGCACGGATACATGTGAACATGAACAGACATTTCCATCTGCCAACACTCGCCCTTTCACTTATGTAAGAGGACCCCCAAATCTGCACCTTTCTCACGGTAGGGTCCTGGGGGATGGTGCGAGGAAGGGAGCTTCCCTCTCCAAGTTGACTTTGCCCTATTTCCCAAACACGTCCCTCCCCTCAGATCCAGATTAGCTCGGCAGCCTAGTCCAGCCGAGCTGAATAATCCGCCTCCCTGAGTATCTGATTCCAGCCTTTGAGGTGCAGGCTCCAGACTGCAAACAGGACAAAAAAGTGTGGGACTCGATGGCCGAGCTGCCTGTGGCAGGGCCTGCTGCTGGCTCTCGTCTCTCATCCCGTCCATCCCGTCTCATCCCATTCCAGATCATCCCTGCCCATTCTAGGCCATCTCATCCCATCTCCGGGGCTGCTGCTGCAAAAGGGTCCTGGGGAAGGAAAGGGTTCCCAGGAAATCGAAATTCACTAAAACTCCCCTGCAGCCGGGGAAAAGAGGGGGAGAAGGAGGATGAAGCAGGCCGAGAGGGAAGGGAGGGGGAGGAAGGGAGCTCAGGGCTGACCTAGAGGCTCAGAGCTCTATTCGGCTTGCGTCTGCCCAGCGGCCTTCGCCGCGGCCTCCTCCTGGCTGGGAAAGTATCTAATTGCTCCTTAAATAAAACTAGGGCAAAGAGGGTCTGCAAAAAGCCAAGCCTAGCACTCTGGGGCTGCCTTTCTGGTAAGATGGCGCCTCCGTAAGACCTGCCTCTTCTCAGTGATGAGGAAAAGGCCATAAATCCGTTGTTGTTTATGAAAATTTACAACTTTGCAATACAACTTTATGAGTTGTTCGGGGTTTCCATTGGCCGCTGTCGGTCATGTGGATGGCAACCGTGAACATGAACTTTTTTATAATTTCCCTTGCGAGAATAGAGCTGCATTCTTTTGCTGAGCTCGGTCCTGCTTCGGATCTCAGGCTTTTCAGTCCCTATAGCGTTTGCTCTTTGGAAGGCAATGGGTAGCGGAGAAGGAGGGGATGAAGGGGATGCCTCCAAACCCCCGCCGCCCGGCAGGGCCCTTGCCCGGATCCGGGGTGGAAAGGAAGGTGGGGCAAGCTGGATCCCAAGCTGTGGAGTGGCCGATTTTCAACTCGCAACCTGGCTAATTTCCTGCTTCTTCTGGCACGACAAGGAGGGCGATTCGTCTCTCGGGCAGCAACCAAAGCGATAGTTGTCAGAGCGACTGGAGTTCCTTCCTGTAAGCCAGAATCTAAAGGTAAGACTCGTTCACCACTAACAGAGGTAGCTTAGCAGCCCTCGCTGACCCCGGCGGGAGGGATTTCGGAGAGCATAAATAGAGACAGATGTGGGTACAGACATTTACATCCACGTAGATATATACACATATATGTGTATGAGTGGGGATGTATCGCTATATGTATGTATATGTGTATATATATATATATACACTGTATATGTTATAGCCATATATACATACATATATTAGTAATACTAGATTGGGCATCTGGTTGGCATGTACATGGCATGGAATCCAGATACTACCAAGGCACCAAGGTTTGTCTCTGAGCAAGAGGCTTGTGATTTTTCACAGAGACCCACGATTTGGGGTCGAGGGCTTTTCTCCCACAGAAGATTTCCCTCTCTCCTGCGCTGGTGATTCAATTTAATTCGGATTCCCGCCTTCCCTCTCCTACCCCCTCCCCCAAACCAACGAAGGAACCAATTTCCGGCAAAAGAAGGGGAGAAAAAAAAAGAAAAAAAAAACAATAAATGGGCCAGCCTTGTATTTGAGTCCGGGTTCCTTAATTTTGGGTGAATACAGTTTGCCAGAGTAAAAGAAATTAAAAAAGAGAGAGAGAGAGAGAGACTTACAAATTTAGAGAGCCCTCTTGCAATTACCAGCTTCTCGCTTGGTACGGTTTTTCCAGGAGAGAGATCTGCAATGGGAGAATAGAGGAAATGGATTTGTTGTTGGAATTGGGGGGGGGGTAATCGGTTGAATACCTTACGTGCTAATTGGACGAAGTTTCGCTGGTGGTGATGACTCTCTTCTAGTGGTTCGGTTTATACTGTGGCCAGGTTCGGTTTGGGTGTTTTGGTGCAGGTACTGCAGCGTGGATGTTTGGGTCCACGGGTGTTGAGTGACTGTGTGTCCACATCTGTATGTATCTCTCTGGATGGACAGTCCGGGAGCTCGCTACTCCTTTTTAATCATAAGCGAATTTCTTTCAGCTTAGAACGGAGCTGACCTGACTGTAATGGGAAGAGATTGTGTCAAAAAAGAAGGGGGTGTGAAGATGGTTCATCGGAAAAGGAAAATTGAGCGAGAGCTGAGTAGGGCTGGAATGGATGTGTTTTCGTAACATATTTGGCATTATAAAGCGTGTTTCAGGGTCCAGGGCGCCCTCCGGGTTGTGAGCTGCGGAGGGAAGAGGCATAGGAAAAGCCCTCACTCCGGCAGCGGTGCAGAGGGTTGGGGCTCCGGGAATAGCTTGGTATTCATTACCGTAATTCAGAAGAAGCCGTGCGCACTCCTAATGTTAACACCGGCGTTGTTTGTGTTCTCTCGGCTGCTAAGGAATTGTATTTGCATGGCACTGCGGTGTCTGCTCCCCTGCAACTGCAGTGGGGGGGTGGCGCGATTATTTATGGTGGCTCGCTTGGAGCTCAGTGCTGCCACGTTGTGGCCAAGAGCAGTAGCGGCGAGCGTCCGCGGCCAAGGGGAAGCCGAGCCTTGGCGAGAGTGGCTTCTCACTTCCCTTTGGAGGAATTATTGGAGTGAGGGAATGGAAGGGGGAGGGGGGACGGGCCTGCCCAGAGAGGTGGTGGGCACCTAGTCATTTATGGATCACATCCCACTCCCACTTGGTTCTCTGCAGGCCCTTGGAATGGCCTGGACACCCCCACCTCCACTCCCAACTACACATTTCTGGAAACCGGTTGCATAGCCTGAAGAGGACTGATTTTGAATAGCATGGCTGCCTCCTCCCCCAAACTGAGGTCTCTCAGGCCCATGGAATCCAAACAATGGTTCTGGGAGGGGGGTGGGATGGGTAGCCAGCACCATTTGGATCTTGGAGTCTGAGAGCAAGCTCTGGGGCTCGTGGGCGGCCCAGGGCCAGGTCTGGACCTGAGAAGAGATCTATCTTGTGTCGGTGGCTGGAGAAATAGGGGTTTGCCTGGAGTGGTCGGTTCCAGCCGGCCCCCCGCACCTGTGTGATTAGCAGCCTCTGACTTATGATCCTATTGATGGAAAGGAGGCTGCGTGGCGAGGCCGTGGCCCTGCCGCACTGTGGACTTGCTGAAGTTGACTCTCATCGGGCGAGAGTGAGGAGTAGTGGGCAGAGTGTGGGGTTCTTGGAGCCCCAAGCAGATCCTGGGAATACCCTTCCCACTCCTTGAAGAACATTTTCAAGGTAAGTGGCCTTCCCCCCCCCCCCATATGCGAGAGCTGAGAAGTAGCCGGGAGAGGCGTCTGGCCTCAGAGGGAGCCCCTGGGGTCTGCCTCGTGCTGTGGTCTAACCCCGCTTGGTTGTTGTGTGGGTCACACCAGTTTCCTGGTGTGCGTGTGTGTTGTTTTTGATTCATGAAAAACACCTAAAGCTGGATGGAGAAGCAAATTGGTCGGCTGCCAACCTATTGCACATCAGTCTTGTAGAATACGCTGGGTTTCAATTTTGTTTTAGTTATGGTATTTAAAAAAAAAAATTTTTTTTTTCCGGTTTAGTCACTACGGAAACAAGGATGTAATGTTTTTCCCCTTTACCCTGAGAAATGGGAATTTCACTTTGTCTTGGGAAAACCATATCGAGAATTTAGGCCAAACCACCAAAACAACGACAACCCACCCCAAATCCCAACTCAAGCCCTGAGGGGCTGGGGGAGCTATAGGGATTGAAAGGGCATGTATAAAATGGAAATGTTTATACAGATAGCCAAGTCAGTACCAAGCGTGGGATTTTTTAAAAGATTCCAACAAATACCTTATTTAAAGCTTTCGCTGAAAACACCCTAACTCAAACCAGGACTTTCTCCTACATCCTTTTAAAACACAAATTCTTTCTCTCTCCCCTGTGTTTTCATCTGGCCTCCATTCTGAAATACGTGAAGGGAAATGCCCCATTTTCGCCGCTCTATCCCAGTCTTTATTTATTTTTGTGAAACTTTCCAGGGAGAGGGTTTGTTCTGGAAATAGACAAGAGGACTTTGGCTGCAGCCCATAAAGAAATAAAGACAGACGCACATGGTATATGTACCACTTACGGATGTTTGTAAACATACCTACGGATCCACCAAATCTTTCCAGATTAAATCTGGAGGGTGTAAAGAGAGAGAGGAAAATGGAGGGAGGATAGAAAGAGAGATTAACAAAGTTCCTGCTTGATCATTGAAGGTAATTGCTGCTCCCACTGATATCGCTGACACCACCAGGATATTGCTGAGGGTTGCATACATTCGCTAGGATTTTACACATCTTATAAGCAGCCTCCGGAAATGCAGCAAAATGGTATCAATAGACTTTCTCCAGCCACCATACTATTCAGGGTTTTAAAGGTAATTCCGGAGGCTTCACAAACACAACCATAAAAATGCCACTGGGACGCTATTGGTTTTTTTTTTTTTTTTTTAAGAGATAGATCCATCTGCTGGGAAGTCAAAGATCTAGAGGAAACACCTCTTGGAAAGTCATCCTGGATGGTGCCATTCATTCATTTACTGTCTGGGGAATGTAAGGGGATAGATAGCCAAGAGTTTCAAGCAGCTTCCAGAATTTCTAGGGGCGGCTATCATAACTCCATCCAGGACATGAGCTCCCCAGCTTTTGGGCTCGCCGAGCCCTGCCAGGGCGCAGATTTCAACCTTCAAAGATGTATCAGTTAATTCAAATGTTCAGAAAGCCAGGTTTCGATCATTTAGTCCTCTGGATTCTGAACAGGGCCGGAGCTGCCTAGCCTCTTCGGGTACTGGCCCACGGCCTTGTTCAATAGTGGAGTCTTTTTAATAAGAAAAACACTCCTTTCTGGATTTCGATTTCAACGTGTAAACAGCAGCGATGAACTGAGGGAAAGGAAACGGGAACATTTTGAGGGGTCAGGAAGGCTGAGAGGGGGTAGGGAGAGGCCCTTATAGGTTTCAGGAGCCCCCAAACCTTTGCAGCTCGCCTCCTTTTTTTTTTTTTTTTTTTTTTTTTTTTTGCAATTTCCTTCTTTTCTCTGTAGGAAATGCCTGGATTTGGGATCGTTCTTTCGGGAATTAGGCTGGGGGAGGAAAGTGGGGATTTCTGGGTCACTGTGGCCCAGATGTCTGGGGCCTCAAAGGGGACGTCAGAAAGTCCCTGAGTCGGGGGTAGTAGAGGTGCTTAGTCTTTTTTTGTTTTTAATGGAATGGGTAGGCCTGCTGGAGGAGAAAGGGATCACAAGGATCATTTAGGACAGTGGCTGTGCCTGACGCTCTGGTCAAGGAGAGCTCGAATCTCCCTTTCCTCCCCTTACCAGGCTGGGTTCGACGGCTTGTCCGCAGGCCTCTTTGGGGGGCAGTATGAGAGGAAGAGGTGACCTCCTCTGCTCCCCAAGTTGCAGTGAGTAAACAAGAGACGCGAGCTTTCCCCCTCCCCCAAAGCGGACGGTGGGGCTCCATCGCTTACGGGTGGGAGTTGAGGGAGAGGTAAGGGTAGGGACCCCCTGATCTCGGCCTCCCCCTGGCGGAGCCTAAAGCGGCGAATGTGTCCCTTTCTGCAGTTGCAGTGAGCAGGGTACTGTTCGAGTGGGAGGGGAAAATGAAAAGAGATATGGGGGGGGGGGGATCTGTTGTTGTCACTACCCTTGGCTGAAGATCTGTCAGAGTTCCAATTTCTTATGAGGGAGAGAGAGAGAGAGAGAGAGAGAGAGAGAGAGGCCTGAGCCAGGAGCCTGGAGGGCCCTCAAAACCCCCGGGGCCCCTAGGCCAAGGAGGCCGAGGTCGGCCCCCTCCCCAGCGGCCCTCGGCTGGCGTTCCGGGAAGAGAGGCGGGCGGGTAGGCTGGCTGTGCGTGCCCATTAATCTGCCGGGTGTGCGGGCTGGGGGTTGTTTGTAACTTTGCTGGCTCGGTCGCCGCGGGTCCCCGGGGAGCGGGCTCCACGGCTCGCTCCCATTGGCCACTGCGCCGTCAGCTGGTGCTATTTGCTGCTGTCGCTTTTGGCGCTCGGCCATCCAGAAACAAACCAGTTCGATGACTACTAATAGTTATAGCCAGATGTACTAATACACAACAAATCACAGTCCTGCAGAGGGGAGCGCAAATGAGTTCCTATTTTGTGAATCCCACTTTCCCTGGGAGCCTGCCTAATGGACAGGACTCCTTCCTCGGGCAAATCCCCCTCTATCCAGCTGGCTATGATGCTCTGAGGCATTTCCCCGCTTCTTATGGGGCATCGAGCCTCCAGGACAAGACATACACCTCACCTTGTTTCTACCAACAGTCCAACACGGTCATTGCTTGCAATCGAGCGTCCTATGAGTACGGCACCTCTTGTTTCTATTCAGAGAAGGACTTGAGTAGCGCCTCTCCCTCGGGCAGTGGCAAACAGAGGGGCCACGGGGAATATCTGCACTTTTCTCCTGAGCAACAATACAAATCCGAAAGCAGCGTGCAGGGCAAAATCTTAAATGACGAAGGCAGCGACCGGAAGTACACAAGTCCTGTTTATCCCTGGATGCAGCGGATGAATTCCTGTGCTGGTAAGTCATTGGCATGCAATTCTCCCTCCAACCCCACCTCCACAAAAGAAAGAAAAGAAGAGAGGAAGGGAAAAGGGAAGAGAGAGAAAGAGAGATAGACAGACAGACAGAGAGAGAGACAGAGAGAAAAATAATAGAAAGAAATAAAGGACAGAAAAAAGGAAATAAAAGTATTCTTTTAGATTTAAAAAAAAATAAAGGGGGGAAAAAAGAACCCAATATGGAAATTAGGTTATAGGAAGGCATGGCTCCTTCCCTGTGTAACGTGACACCTTTGGGGAGTGGTGGGGGGCTGTCATTGCCAAGTTATTTGGGACCTATAACATGGACAACCTAAAAGTGAGAGAGAAGGAGAGAGGGAGGGAGGGAGGGAGGGAGGGAGGGAGGGAGAGAGTGAGAGAGAGAGAGAGAGAGAGAGAGAGAGAGAGAGAGAGAGAGAGAG